AGACATTTTTCCTCATATTTAAATGGAACTTCCTATGTTCCAACTTGTGCCCGTTGCCTCCCGTTCTGACACTGGGAACTACTGAGAAGAGCCTGTCTCCATCTTCTTTGCACCCACCCCTTAGATAAATAAGTATATGCACTGATGAGGTCTCCCCTCAGCCTTTCCATCTCCAGGCTCAAGGGTCCCAGCTCTTCCAGCCTTTCCTCATGGGGCCGGTGCCCCAGGCCTCGCTCTGTTACCACGGCAGCCGGCAGATGGGGGCTCCAGGGGTCGGCAGGGAGGCCGGACCAGCCGCTCAATAACAGCCCTTTCAGCTCTGACAGCTCTGCTATGGCTGGCCAGAAGTAGTTATCAGCTTACTTGTATTAAAACCTAATTAAGATGTGTGCCAGTAAGTGCAGCGTGGTTATTGGATTTGGTGATTTAGCTGCTGCAGGTTGCTGCAATCCAATCACGCCACTTCAGCAAATGCAGCTCTGTGGAGTAGAGTGGAAACGTTTTACATCAGTAACCTGACTGTGCTGAAAGGGTAAATAACCTTTTAATGCCCCTGCTATGTCAAGGACTGATCCCCACTGCTGGGTGGATGGACACTGCCCACAGATCCTTGAATATTAATTTCTTTCAAATCAACTTTAAAACCCAGAGGTGGGCTGGCAGGTTGCATCAGCTTTTCCCTTCACTGCTCGCAGTTGCCTGCAGATTAAGGGACCTGCAAGTCCCCCAGGGCAGGGAGCTTGCAGTGGGGGCCCTGTGGGTGCCCCTGCATGAGCAATGAGCCTTTGTAGAAAAGAAAGAAGCTTTTGGTTTTGTCTGTAGGCCACACACAAGGGGTCAATGTAAGTGTAACATGATGGGTGCTAGTCCAGACTTGTAGCGTTGGATGCAATGGACGTTTATCCTGCTGAGTGGATTTCACTTTGGTGCCAAAGCTCTCTATGTTTGATGTTTCACATATTTTCTGTGGGGTCTTGCAGCGATTGTGTACCTATAGTGGTTGAAATATCTATCCCTTTCCATTTAATTTCTGGGTAGGCTATGGCATATCCTTGTCTCAGATCCAAATTTTACTGCTGTATGGAGTGAAAGATGTAGTCTCCTGCAGGTTGTAGCTGCAGAAAGTAGCAATGTAGCCCTGAGCAGTTCTACGATATAGCTACATATGAGCTCCAGGTACTGAGGATCAGGGCAAAACATTTACCTTGAAGCAGTTATCACAGCTTGTGATGCTCAGTTTTGTTGTTTTTCTGTGGAACCACTTGTGTCGTGAAGCTGCCCCCTACCAGCCCTCACGTAGAACTCAAAATTTTGCTTTAGAGTGGTTAATGGAAAACCATGTTAAGGGTAATATTATTGCTAACTGGAAGCTTACTTCTTAATGCCAGGTTGTCCTGTAAGTAGTCCAACTGTAACATAGTTCAAGAGCTACATCTTCACCTTATGCCTTGAAGTAACATGACAGAGAGTGGAGTCAGTTCCTGTCATTCAGCACTCCCAGACCAGGGAGGAGCAGCCTCCTGATACTCCAACTGGACAGATCATGCCACTGTGGTAGAAAAATTCTCTCATTTGTAATGGAGGCTGAGGACACGGTGGTCACTCGGATGCCCAGGACACAGCACATGTTTGCCTGCTAAGTGGTGTTGCCAAAGTGAATGTGGCGACTGTGCAACCTCTCTCACTTGTATTAGCAAAACGTGCGGAAGGTTCTGTCACCCAGTTGTAAAAATGATGGCAGGCATCAATGTGCAGTTGTAACATATGGGAAGTACAGTGAATGTGGGTGGAGCTGTTCATTTCTCATCTTGAATCATTTACGAGATCAGCAGGCAGGCCAGATACAATGCATATGGGAATGTGTGGCTGTGCTGCACATGTCACACGTAATAGCAGATACTGTGAGAGAGCCCAGAGTCTGTCCTCGGGAGCTGAATGCACTGGAGCAGGCTGGTAGTCCCAGCATGCAGACCAAGGGCCAGGTTGGCAGCAGTTTTGGGAGAGCAGACTGGTGGACAGAATTTGGGAACGGACCTAGATCTGCATTGACTAGAACTATTCCCTCTTTATCTGTCATAACCCAGAACTGTAGAAAAGAACATTACTAACCCTGTACTCAAGCACTGGAGATAGATACAGATTATTACACTGAAGTTGTGACCTGCTAGTCCAAACTCAGCTCAGTGCCTGTGTCCTCTTTCTCCAGCTCCTCAAGGGGACAGTCTGACTGTAATACTGTGGATAGTGAAGTTAGAAAAGCAATAATTGAGTAGCATTGCCATAACTCAAGACTTCATTATTCACAGTAGTTTATCTGAATCACCCTTTGCATGATCTGAAAGGATATAGAGCGTTACACTTAAGAGCGCACTAAGGCTCATATCCAGTAATGTTTGTGAAATTTTCATGGGCTGCTTGTATCTAGTATAAAGTGTTGTTTTGATGGAAAGGAGATGAAAATTACTTCTCTCTGGGTGCTCGAACAGGAGGAGGTTCCTCACACTGAAGTGGTGGCTCTTCAGCTGGAGCCTTCGCCCTGCGAGAGGAGAGGCACGCTGGGGAAAGGAGTTTGCTCTAGCAGCCAGAACGTGCCCTAGCACTGTGATGGGCAACGCTTGTGTTGCTGTAGAGCTGTGGATCAAGGGGTTTATCTTCTCTACCTGTGTCTCTAGCTGCCTTAATAATAATTTTGTGCAAGAGGGTCTCTCAAAGATTATGTAATTGTTCTTAAAACAGACTGGAACACTAGCAGCATGGGAAAACTATTAATTGAATGTAGAAATCAGCAGAAACTTAAATTCTAAGTGCCTGAATCCAGACTGTAGTTGGTACTGCTGAGTTGGGCTCTTGTGCATGAGGAGGATTTCACAGCCTCAAGGCTCTAAGTGGGTAGGGCAGCACTGGAGTTTTCCCCTTGACTGTGTGAAGACAGCACTTAGCAGTTACACCTCCCTACCAGTACTACTAATAAGTAATAAGTGCTCTAGAAATAAAGGACTGGCAGATGTCTTTATTACAAATCAGGAAGTGCAGTAAGGTCCCATATCCTCCTCAAGTTAAAGGAAATCAATGGCAAAGTAGTGAGCACAGCTCAGCTCTCTGATCTGAAAGAAAGATGTTGCCTCCAGCAAACAATAACTGTTGTTCTTGCACTCCTTGGGACCAAGATGCTTGTGGAAAAGCTGCTTTCTTTAAAAGCAAAAATTAAAAAAAATAACAGTACAAGGGTTAGTTTTTGTTTGTGTGGGGCAGTTTTGTTTTGATTTTGAAATTCTATACCCCTGAAACCACATTTAGTAAAGAAATTAAGCATAAACAGCTCCTGTACTGACATGGTATAGTTTGGAAGGTACAAGGGGTGTGATATTAGGCACAGAGCACCTGAGTATGTATTTAGTAGAATACCCTGTGCTACCAAAGGGGTGTTTTTGTTTGCTTCATTGGATATTTACAACCAGCTGTTGCCATTTGCAGCTAGCTGATCCCCAGGAGATGGCCCCGCTGCTCCTCAAATCCCTTTTGCAAGAGTAGGTTAGCAGAGTAACAGGACACTGAATACAGGCATTCAGTGTTTGCTATACGATTGCTGCAGTTTGGTGTCAAGGGACTTGGCTGACAGATACAGATCAGTAAATACTGGTTTTGACATAGATTTTGGCAATTTTGTTTCAGCTAGATTTTACTAGCTTTTTTATCAAGGAACTTGGGGGTGTTTACCAATGCAGTTACTTTGAACAATCCTGATTAAGAATGTGAATATTCAGTGATTAGCTTAGCTGAGTTATGACAGCTGTACAAGGCAAAATTACCACATGGAGCTGAAAAAAGTAAGATTCAGAAAATCACATGCCTTCTTGTAAGTGTAGAACTAATTCCATTAAGAACACAGCCTGAGAGATCCAGCCTAACAACCTTGCTCAGCTGAAGCTGTAGTTCAGTATGTTGGAGCAAGAAAATAGTTTACAAAAACAAGTGAAAAGTTTAGATCAGGAACTAACCTTGACAGAACCAGAGTTGGTTCATGCTCCTTAAGTGCATAGTGTTTAAATGTGTAGGTTTTCTCTAGAACACTGTTATGACAAGAAGCTTCTAATGTATCCAAAAGGACTTCTAATTGGAAGATGTTTCCATTTAAAGACTAATGATTTAAAGTAAAAATAAAATTTCCAGCTTATTGGTATTTATATCCCTTCCTACAAGTCCCAAGCAGACTATAAATTTTTCATGCCAGGAATAGTCACTGGGAACATAACCTGTCCCAGGTTTTGCGATTAAAGAAGGTGGGGTTGACCTACTCTGCGTCAAGTCACAAGTCAGGCACTTGTTTTTCAAGTGTAACCAAAAGGCCTCTGCATGCTCCTTCTGGTACCTGCCAGCTTGTTCCCTCTGTTTTGCAGCCCCTGAGGAGGAGGACCTTTGGAGTGATGGGCTCTTTGTAACCTTTCCCAGGAATCCTTGTTACCCTACTAAAGGATCTACCCTGACATGTTTAATTAACATAAAGATTTCTTGAAATAAGTGTAGCATTCTGTAATGAGTTTTGGACTTTGACCAGGTTTTTAAGAGCCGCAGACTTTTTTTTGCCACTTCAGGTCCATTTTGACAGGTGGTTGGAATGTTTGGGTTTATAATCTGGCCTAGCATGTGTGTTTTAGGAACCTGTTACTGAAACAGCTACAGAGCCTGCAGCTTGCTTAGCTGCAGACATCAGGATGCAGTCCTGCAGTCTTTACTGATGTCACTCAATGGCAAAGCAAATTCATGGTCATGTCTTTATAAGGCTTCTAAATTAGAAGTGCAAATCTTTAAAAGTGCTCTTGTGAAGTGTGAAGATAAAACGTATTGAATGCCCATCCCAGGAGTAATACTTCAGTCTCAGCCCGACCACCAGACTGAGCTCTCTCGTCTGGGAGCTGCACCCCCCAGCAAAAACATCAAAGCTCCTCCCGTGAACTCCAACTTCAGATGCTCTGCAACTCTTTTATCTGTTTTTTTTCCAGGTTACAGCAGCTTGACAAGCACTGCCAGGCCACTGCCCAGCAGTTAGTGGAGTTGCTCAACAAACAGAATCAGCTCTTCAAAGAGAAGCAGCTGCTTACAGAAGAGGTGCAGTTTCTGCGAACACAGGTACTGTGCCAAGAGAAAAGGAACTCTGAGGGGAATATTCTGCAGCTTGAGCAGAGGAATCTGCCAGCAGCCTCATTTCAGCTGTTGGGTTTGTTTGCTGCTGTTGCTTTAAATAAGGCATTACCTTATGAAAAAAAAAAATCCATGCAATTGGAAGAAGACTTCTAGCTGGACCTGAGTTTCACTTAAACCTAAACTAAATAAAGAAAATATTTTAAAGTGACAGTAAAAGAGCAGAAATTACTCTTGGTGACAATTCCTAGCTTTCTTATCAGAAGATTTTATGTTCCTTTTTCAGAGAAAAGGGAAATCTGTTCTTCTAACAGCATTAACGTTTAAACACTAGTTTGATGTTGAGAATTCCTTTGAGTTTTCTGCTGGTATTTGTCTCACTGAAATCCCTCTACTACTTTTTAAAGCAATTTCTCTTTCCTGCTGCTCCATGACCACTCACCCAAGTGTGAGATGGCGAACGTGACATCAGCCTGCCTGAGCACTGATCACTGCCCTGCACTTCTAGCAGGACTGACTTGTGCTTCCATAGTCTCTAGGAAGCTGTGACTTCTTCTGGGCCATTGCTGGATTTTTACTTCGGCCACTGTTCTTCAATCAGTCCATGCTTTGGAAATAAGGGAGAGGGCTAGGTGGTTTGTTGGGTTTTTTTCTTTGTCTTTCTTTTACTTGTTTCAGGGAAAAAAAAAGAATACGCACAGAATGAGGTTTTCAGTACAACTAGCAAGCAATCAAACTCTTGCTTTGAGACTAAGTAAATGAACTATTTCAACCATACCATGATGTTTTCTAACTTGCAAACTAGTGATAACTAGAGTTCTGTTAACACAGACATTCAGTGTAAGAAATTTAGTCCAGTAAGCAGCAGTCAGCACCTAGCAGTCAACAGAACATCAATCGCTTCAGAACCTTTTTAGCTGTAGAATTTAGCTAAATGTTTAACCTAGGAAAGTAAAATCCATGCATCATTATGCCTTAATCATGTCAGTGTGTTTGGTTATAACACTTTCCTGTTGTAGTAGACAAACCTGGTAGCTCAAGATTGTAAGTGTAAGGTTACCAGTACGTTGTAACTACTGGCAAGTTTCAGGGCAGCCAGAGGGCTCTCTCTGTGAGGTAGTTTAAGAAGGTGGTTGTTCAGAAAAGAAAATTAAAAGTTCTGCTTCAAGGGAGACAGTATTGGTAATGTGAACAGACTTTACAGGATCCACAGGGATTTTGTTATTGATCATCTATTTTATGGGGAAGCGAGCGTGCTTTTATGAAGTTTGGCAGAAGTACAAAAATGATGCAAAAGAGGAAAAAAACACTCAGAGATGATACTGCTATCAAGGATTGATTGGCAAAAGCTTCCTTCTTTATGTTCATTACAAGTTAATTGAGCTTCAGAGGATACTTTTTAACTTGAGGACACTCAGAAGAGAAGAATTATATAGAAAATTATTATAAAATGAGGCCTAAAAATCTATTTGCAGCTATTTAAAGCAATGGCTGTTCTCTGGGAATTGAATTTAACCCAAAAGAGCTGCCTGGAATATCAAACAATTGGTTTAAGAAAACTAAAGAATAGTTCACTTTAAATGGGAGACTTTTAGAAAGATCTATGTAGTTAGTGTAGGAATATATATTTTTTAAAAAAATAAAAATTGCAGATCAGTGTTGATCAAAGGTGAAAATGACATCATGTTCCACATTTGACCATATTGTTCAACAGTTCTCCTTTATAATCACTAAAGTTTTTGTGTGTGGGGAAAGGGGGAGAAACCAGTCATACCTAATCTTTTTAAAATAATGTAAAAACCACTAGTCTAAATGTGCTATTGTATCTTGGAACACTAACTGCAGTTGTGTATTTCAGGAAAAAAAATGGGATTCAGATCTCAAGCAGGACACAGATGGAATCAAGTAAAAACCTGGATGGATAAAGAGAAATGAGCACAAGTAGGTATTTTTTTCTATATCCTATATATAGAGGAAGGGGAGGGAGAGGAAGACTAAAACTATTTGCAGATGTGGGTTGAATCTGGCAAACACTTCAAGAAAAAAGGGAGAAGAAAGAAAGTGTTTGGAACATTTTGGGGTTTGAAATTGTTGGAGCTTTTTGTGGATTTTTTTTAGCACTTAAAAATTCAGGATGAGCACTCCCCAGCTAAGAGAGGTTTACATGACAGAATTAGGCGGGGGGAGGGGGACACACAACTCTTAGCAAAGTGGGAACTCAGATTTTACCACAGGTACTTTTTAGTCTGGATAATCACTGGGTTATTAGTCTTTTAAATTGGGTTAGTAAATTTTGTTGCTTCCAATAGTATTTTTCTTCTGAGGAAGCAGAATCATCTCTATTTCTTCAGAAAGACTACAGTTTGTTCTGTAGTAAATCATAAAACTTAGTGTGATGTTGAAGGAAACATTATATAAATAATGGTATTTGGAGCAGTTCTTTTGGAGTTACGGTACTGCTGCATAGTTGCAGCTGTTCCTGATGCCTTGGGAGAGTTACTTTTTTGGGGGTTAACTTGAATTTAAAAGTTACAGATTTTAAAATGGCCTCATTTATTTTTATCTAGCTGACCCAGTAAAAAAAAAAACAAAACCACAACAAAACACTGACAAACCTCTAACCTTCCTAGGATTTGTTTTCAAAACTCAGGTTACTTCCACTGGTGTTCTTATTTCTGGTGTTAGTGTTTGGTATATGGAGGGGAAGAACAAAAGAAAGAAAGGGGAGGGGAAGATGTTTTTCAGATGTCTGCAGTTCTGGTGTATCGAGAGTCTATTTTTCATGGAAAACTGATTTGACACTGTAAGGAAAATTCTGGGTTTTAAAGTGAATTTTTAAAAGTAATCATAAAAGAAATACGCTTTACAGACAACACGAGTTAAAAGGCTTTAGCATCTTTGTTGAAGGAGTTACCAAGACAAGTACCAGTTTTCAAAACCATCTTTCTCATTCTCAGAAGTGAATTACATTATTTTAAAATAATAATGTTAAATCTCCTATTACTGAAAGCAGCTCAGTATTATTTCAGAATAACCACTTGCCTAAAACATGATGATGATGCTTACACTGTAATTTTCATTTTCTAAGAGCTCTAAAGGACAAGTATGATAATGTGGCCTGACCTTACAGCATGGGCTGTGTATCAGGCCATGACATTAATATTTACAAGATGGCACTAATATTTAATAAGAATATACAGTGCAGCATATTCAGGTACAGGCAGTCAAAAGATGAAATATGGGATTTACACCTCTCATTTTGAAAGTTTGAGAAATATTAAAGTTTTGAGTTTCTGCTTTTGTAAGTGTCTCTTTCACTGCAACTTGTCCTAAGTCAGGACAAAAAGAGCTATTTAGCTCCCCTCCTATATAGGTACTAACTACAAATGTGCAAACATCTAAACTGAGATTACTAGAGACCTCTGCACGACCCACCTAGTTCAAGTATGTTTCTGAAAGCTGGGGTGCTCCTCACTGCAGGATCTGCCTTGGTGTGAAGCAGTTTGACAGAAATCTGCATTTGTCCTGGTTGTATTTATATATCCAGTATTTGCCCTTCAGAGCCTGTGGCTACCAGATGGAGTTGGTGACCAGCTGTGCCAGCGAGAGCACAGAGTGACAGGATTCAGATCCTGAAGATCTCCTGCAAGCTGGCCCTCCCTGACAGGAACCCATGCTCTCCCTCTGCTTTCCTATGGCCAAGCCACTAAAACTATCCCCTCCCTTAGTACAGATGTCACGTTTTCACAGTGAGCGTCTGTGGACAGAACACTTTTATGCTAAACAGAAGTTAAAATATACTAACCCATGACTATATTCCCATCCTCACCCCTCTAATGGCTCAGTGGGAGGCAGTCAGAATTGCAGCTTTTCTGAGTGGTGGTTCTGTTTTCTTACAACAGCATGAATTTCCAGTGAGGTCCCAGCAGCAAATGCAGTGCTTGACGTGCTCCCAAGTGCCCCCTTTGCCTTTTTTTTTCATTATGTGTTACAGAACAGAGCTATTATGTCCAGAAAACAAGCAGCTCGTCCATCTATGATGTCAAAAGTAATTCAGGCTGATCCTTACACAGCTCTCAACTGTTCTTTAGGAGACCTTGATTGATTAGGTTACTGAGAGAGCTTTTTTAAAAATGTAGTCTAAATGCACAAAAAACAGATGCCCCTGAGCTGAAGGGCTGTTGGGAGGAACCTGGGCAATGTGTGCTGCAGGGCTCTGCCCACTGACTGTAAGTACTGTTAGGAGTAAGGCTGGGAAGGCCCCCTGCCTCTTGACCAACTCATTTGTGAGTCACCTGGACACTGGGAGTGACAGATTTGTGTCCGTTTAGTCAGGCAGCAGCACATCTTAAATGACCTTGTTAGCCTCCAGGCGGTTGTACAGTGAGGCACACTGAGAGTCTGCCACTCTTTGTGCTTTATTTTAAAGGAGCTGAGGCCTGCATGTAGTCACATAGAGAAATGCCCACGTCCTCAGTCATGCTGTGGCTAAGCATCTTGCAAAGCATTAACACTGGGGAACTGTGGTGACAAAAGCCATGTAGAAGTTTTGATGCCTACCAGGTTACACGCATACGGGCAGGGCTAATGAAACCCTTTTTGTGGCTGTAGGTGGCAAGAAGAGGAAAATGACAGATTCTGAGTTAAGAGGTATATATTGACAGTATGACATTTCCAGGGTACAAGTGTTTTGAAGGTTGGTGGTACAAACCTGTGCCTAAAAAGGAGGAGACTCCCTCCCTCAGGGTACAGCGGTGAGAGGGGAGAGCAGGGAGCGACCCTGCTGGGCTGTCGCCTGGGCCACCAGGGGCAGCTGCATGGCAGGGGAGGGGACTGGTTAGGAATGTTTTAAGACACCTGCAGCAGCAACAGTGGCCAGGAAACCTCTTCAGGAGCCAAGTGTTTGGGGTTTATTTTTTGCCTTTTTAATCTCTGTCTGTACTCTAATGCTGGGGGTCACTGCAGCATGGCGTAGGTTCCCTTGCTGTCACTAAGCAGTCACTGACACAGAATTCAAGCCCCAAGGCTCTCTGTGGCTGCAGTTCCATTTTTCCTTGCACTGGTTGTAGATACAACTGTAGCAGTTGGTGTTGGTGCATGGATTTGGGGGAAAGAACGTACCATGTTATTGTTTTTAATTCATTTGTTAATGAATTGCAGCTTCATAAATTCTCCTCTTTTAACTCAGCCCTAATTCCCTTCCTGATTTAAAAGGAAATGAAAAAGCAAAACCCTTTAGTCCTCTAATGCAAAACCAGCCAAAGTAGAAAGTTTATTTTTATCTTTGAGGTCATTTACATCTCTTAAATTCATATTTTTGAATGTCAATGGCTGAATCCTAGGTAGCTCCCCTAGCTCCAGTAGAGTTTGATGTTGCGCTCTTAATTCAATTCTGAAGTGCTACCGAGGAAGCACAAACAAGAGCTATGCAAGAGCTTGGAAACTGCCAATTAGCCTTCTCACCAGAGGTTTCCTACCAGCAACCAGGCAGCAGTGCCCTGTTCTGCTGCAGCTGCCCACCCTGTACAGCTCACAGTAAACACTGGCACAAAGCTGCCGCCTCCTTCCTGGAAAGTAGAAGGGGCAGGATCTTAGACGTGCCCCCAAACAAGAGCTCAGTTATTTACTGCTAAACATGAGCCACATCTAAAGTGCATGGAGATCCTGTTTTTCAGAAATCAAATGTCTCTTGTTTTTGCTACCTTTAAGGCTTCTGATCTGAAAGAGGCGAGGACAGCAGGCCCGCAGGAAGTGCGGGCTGTGAAACAGCGCTTGTTTACCTGGCATTGCCACAGGCTGAACCATTTCTGGATTTCTCTTCTAAGAACTGGCTCGCAGGCTGAAGTGACACAAATAAACACAAGAAATGTGACAGGCTGACTGACACACCCGTCTCTTTTATCTTTCAGGTCTGCTTGGCTGAAACTTGGGCCTGTCTGAGACCCACCAAAGACACCTCTGCAGAAAACAGGCACACTCACTGCCTGATTTCAGCTGGTTTCAATTTTTTTTTAACTACAGAATCATAAATATTTTTAAGCACCCCCAGCCTACCAAGCTTCCTAGGAGGACAGCCAAGACTTCTTAAAAGACTAGGCTTGCAAGCCAGTGTTGAACTGCTCTTATGTAGTGTGGCCTTAATAATTTGTACTATTTTAAATAAATTGGTTTTTTATCTATTTTTATAACTGATCATAGATGATGTCTTATTTACAGACTGAAATACCAATAAACTTGGATTCTTCTTTTCCTAGTTCTGTCCTTTTGAATTCAAGTGAAAGTGTGTGCAAGAAAAAGGAGAAAGGGACTGTTTGTTTTGTCCCGCACAAGCAGGATTCATTAGATTCATTACAGGAATCTAACTGGGGACTGTATTTTTACAAGGTATTTGTCACTTTTTATAAAAGAATGAGAATCACAACAACTTCTTATCCATCAGGAAAGTATAAGAATGACTGAGAAATATTTCATATAATGTGGAAGCATTTCCATGGGGCAGGTGTCCCTTCAAAATGGACACTGGATGAAGCCCTTAAGGCAAAGGTACCCCTCCTTAGGGAAGGTTAAGCTGTAAGTGCCTGGCTAGACTTTTCTACCAGCAAATCTTTAGCAGCCTCAAGGATCATCAGCTGACCTTGACTTCAAATTATTGAACTGAAAACTTTTGGAGGATGTATTTGAAGGGCTTTTTTTTTTCTTTTCCTGGTTAATTGCACACTTGTGTTTTTAAAAGTTATTTTCCAAATACCAGGCTGATTCAGAAAGAATCTGAATCCTTTGCTAAACTAGTGTAGGATAAATCAAATGCATAACAAAAAAAAAGACGCACCTCCCCCCCATTGGTATAGCTACCTCAGCCAGCACGAAACCATAAAACATAAAAAGGAGTAACAACACATGCAGTAAGTTAATTAACTATTTGCTGTGGGACACAATCTCTC